ACCTTGGCTCTTTTGTGCACCACAGGCAAAGACAGAAGGAATGCAACTGAATGCTCTTTTCATCGAAAATCCATTTAAAAACCTTATTGGTTTACCGAGGCACTACCAACCACCAGTAATCGAAGATTGTTATACTATATTATATTATTTTAAACTAGCTCCATTTGGGAAAAGAATGCTTAGTCCTTGCTTCGATCACGCTCACATGAATGAAATGGTTCATTCAATTTCACAGAGTCGTGCAAAAGTGTATAGCTATTTGTTGAATATACTGAAACTGAAATTGACTTCACAGACGAGGTGTTTTACACCACAAGTAAACCTAACACGGCCCGACGGTTGGTTGGCTACTTATAATTCCGGCTTGCAGAGTGAAGGTTATGGGCTGGTTGTTACGAGCTTCATACTGGTGCACGCTCATTTACTATAACAGAACGTGATGGATGAAATTGGTATAGAAGGATGACCTTAAATGCGTGAGATTTACGCGGTAGCCTGTGTGAACACATACCAGATAACACAAGCTGACATTGTTAACCATGACAACAACTCGTATGTCTTCCCGAAAGATGGTCCTAGAGTTCTTAGTTGGCGAATCATTTTATGAATTCTAGTGAAATTCGAAGGACCCATGACAATCGTATGGTCCCAGAATATCACAACATGTCGTGGAATAAAAATTAAAAAATCATTTGTTTTCAATACTAGCCAGTGTTCCTAAGGGTCTTATCGTTGCCAGAATATCAAGAAAAAAATATTAAACCTTGGCAAACTGAGTCATCAAGGAAACGACATGTTCAACATTGAAATACATGATCCGAACATCAATGTCATGCGGTGATCTTTCTTCACAAATCTCAACATAGTTGTCGTAAATAATCATCCAGTTCGATAGAATGCAAATGCTTTTCGTCAAAAGACTGAGCTCATTCGACTACATATAGTTTATTTACATCCACAAGGTACAATAGTCCCGACAATGAGGTAATAAATAATAATACACTTGACGAATCTTTTTTGTTTGCTCCTCGACTCATTCCATTTCAGGATGATTTCATTTTGGTATGAGAATACTACCATTGACAAGGTAACCGCGAAATGCGATACCAAATCTATCTGGCTTGTTCGGTATGCGTGTCATTGGCTTTCCGCCATTTCTAGTCACAAACTGTTTGTTAATTCTGTAAATTCCCTTCGGGGATGAGTGGGAGTCTCAAAAACCTCCATCCCACCGGATCGGGGAAAACGCATTTGGTCGATCAAGCACTGAAGCGTATATGACAATTTATATAATTAAACCTGTCACGAGCTAGAGCCTTCAAAACAGCTGGCATCCAAAGTTTGCTTTCCTCTACAAAAAATCAAATTGCTTCAATCATCTGATCTGAGCTTCGTGAGGTATTACCTTCCCTTTAACACAGTGCATAGTTGTTTATATTTCATTGCCAGTAGATGTAGTGCAGGTATATGATCACTCGGTTATCTCTGGACCTATCTTTTCCTTCATATTCTGAATGTCAGGTAACCAGTTCTGTCATAAAAGTCAAACGCCAGTTTTTATCTTTCACTCAAAACCAATCGCTCATGTTATGGCCACATGGTGTTCTCTCGACCCATATTTACCTTGGCGCGTATAAATATACCGGCATACCAGGAGTTCTTGCAAACCAAATATCCAGATTCTTAAACACTATTCGATTTCTCACAAGTTAAATTTGCAGATCATTAGCATGGAGTTTTGCGTAACTTAAGCCGAGCTCTGGTGCACAAGCGCATACGCAGACACTTACCCTGCGATCCGTGTGTACCTCTATGCGTTGACTGCAACACAAATAGCAATGAGATGTTCTGGGGACGGGCTATATAGAACGTGGGTGACACCGTTATTCAATACAGGATGGGAATTACTGTTGCAGAATGACACACTGTTTCTCTTGGAGTCAGCGTCAGAATGCAAAGCAGCGTAAGTAAGTAAGTAAGTAAGTACGTAAGTTAGTTAGCTAGTTAGTTGGTTAGTCCGTTAGTTAGTTAAATAGTTCCTTAGCCAGTTAGTTAGTTAGCTAGTTAGCTTGTTTGTTTGTTTACTAACTAGTTAGTTAGGCAAGTCAAAGGTATCAGATTCACCTTTGTTCGTGGATATCCGGCATGCGACCCGAAGTTTATGAAAAAATATCCATTGCAACTTAATATTATTTTTGAGTGTTCTTTATGCAAAAATACCATTTCTAACAAAAGTTATCTGCTCTTGACTCACAAAAGGTCTCTTTTTGTCGAACGAATCGACTGCGTCTTGTTTTGTTCAGCTCTGCAGCTCATTCAGCCATGATTGTGTGTTACATTTGAGACGTGACTATAGTTGTAGTTGCTAGGCGACTGATAGAAGACAGTGTAAAAGGAAACATAATTTGAATTAGACCGAGCATTTTTATCTGCTATGTTCTGGCAAAGTTGCCTTTCATTTGTGTTGCAGTCTACCCGATCAGCACCACGATAGCAAAGGATAGCCGTACCACAGACAAATAACCCGGATATAACTGAAGTATCATGTATTGTCTACCCCCCCTCCCCAAGTACACTGCTCTAATTACCTTTACAGTGCCGGTAAGTAGAATATGGTTTCCCGATTCAGTACTAGACGTCTTCTGCGGTTGTTTGTTACAGCAGTTCAGTCATCAAAGATCACCTCAATAATACCGAAGCCTCTCAACAAATTTTGAGATGTGAACAGGCCTATGATTCACGGATTGAAAAGTGCGTCCCTTGAACCACACTGTAAGCACTGGCATTGGTTG